TCCTATTGTGGCTCCCACCACTGCTATCTATGTGTATGTATGCTAGCTATTAGAGTGAACTGTGATTTACACAGTGGAGGTTAGAGTTCTGATTGCTTATTGCATGGGCTTTACCTTATAGGAGAAGTCCTTTGTGCAGGCAAAATAAACACAGTGCTTCAGACACGAAGTAACATCCTGGCCTGTGGAAATCCACTGCAGATCTGAGAAAAGAAGTGTTCCATTTCTGTTCCATTGGCAGAATCTGTTAGGATCACCCAATAGAAATGTGAGCACCTGCTGGCTATAGAAGATAGGGTCAGAGGTGGTCCTGTTGGATACATAATGGGCTGCTCCTTGCCTCAGTCCTACAAGCAAAACTCTATCTGTGTTTTAAAGAGATGGAAAAATACAAAGCAAAAAGTCTTTACTATTAGGCAGCTGAAGCTCAACAAAAATGACAGTTAACAGGCTTGTGTCCATTTAGAGAGATCAATCCCCCAGGGAAGCTCAGGAACTCGGTAGCTGGGTTGAAGCACCAGATGAGAGCGGCTGCTCTGTCAGTCTGTCTTGCACGTAATCGGCTTTTCTTGTTAATGTCTGAAATCCTCTGTAAGTCAGGACCATGGCAGGATCTGTAGGCAAAATTGAATTGAAGTGCTTTGCAGCCCCCTCTTAACTGATAACCTAAGTGCTCTGCATGGAGCATCCCTTTCCTTGGGCTGACACCAGAGATGATGTGAAGAAGAAACCCTCACCAGTTTAGCCATAAAGTGCAATGAAGCTGATGAGAAACTTTAATTATCAAGAAATCAGACTTCCAGATACGCCAGCCAGTTCTTGTACTACAGCACATATGCATTCATCTCTTTACCTTGGAAAAAAGCATCACCACACTTGTTCACAATAAAAAATGTTTCCGCAGAGTCCCTCAGCCCAGCACATCCCTACCACACACTGCTGCAATGCCCTGCAGCCAGGACTGATCCGCCGTGCTGCTGAGCTCCCTGTGCCCTCGGCATTTCCAACCTGCACAGCAGGGTCCATGCCCAGTACCCAGAATTACCACTCAGAAACTCCTTGCTGCACCAGTCTCCATCACGACCAGCCCATAGCTTTAATTGCTGTGGGTACCTGTAGCTTTGTGGTTGATAGCAGGGCAAGAACAGAGCAGAACAAGATTGCTAAGTGAGAGTGTGGGAATGCACTGGGAATAAGAGTGGGAATCACAGAGGAACAGGAAGGATGGGAAGCAGGAATGTGAGAAGAGAGGGCGACTGAGAGATGCAGACCTTGGGTTGCTTTGGCCGTGTGTTGTGGTTTCCCTATACCTGGTGCCAAGTGACAAGGCTTTTTTTTTTCCCCCTAAATTCCAAACTGTCCTTTAGAGCATTGAAACTGAAACGTTTTTACTATGATCTATTTTTATTCATGTTGAATATTTTTCTCCAGACTTCAGCCAATAAAACTGATCCCATTTTATGTTCAGAGTGTTGGAAGCTGAAAAACTGAAATCATTTTTATTTTCTGTACAGCAGTCTTTTTCTGAAATATGGAAATAATTAGCTCTCAATACGTACCGGCTTCTTTTAACTAAATTAGAATATTGGATCAAGTTTCACTTAAGTTCTAGAAGCCAAACGCTATCGGCTCTCTCTATTGAAGAGCCAAAGGCTCTCCTCAAAGCCAGGGAGCAGAGAAAAAGCTGAGTCTGGGCCGTCCTCCAACCTCTCAGCCTGCTCCCGAGGGAAAAAGAGCTGCCTGGGACGAGCGGGAGCAGCCCAGGGAGCTGGGTTTGTGCCCAGCACTGCGTGCCTCGTCCTGCCAGAGCACAGCGCGACTCCCCTGGGACGGGAGGAGAAAGATGTTGGCAGGGCCTGGCCTGGTACTGCCAGAGGGTTTCAGAGAGATTGGAGCTAAGAGAAGATTTTTGTCCTGACTGCCTCACGCATTTCAACGTTTTCTAATGCAAAGACACAAAAATAAGTGCAAAGTGCAACAAGAGAAGGGACAGAGGAGTGGCACCGTTCACCTTTCAGCAAAGCTTTCACCCATGCGCTGAGGTCAGTGCCTGGCTTCGTGTCTGACAAACCACGTGCCAGCTTCCCAGTGTCCTGGGCTCAGCTCAGCTTTGGTACAGCACCCCAAAATTCTCACATCCCTGCAGTACAGCTCTTCTAAAGGAAACAACAATTGCCTGACACCAGCTGGCACCTCATTTGAATGTCCTCCTGTTAATTTCTGTGTCTTGAAGGCTAGCTTCTCGCCCGTTTCGTACCAAACAAGGACACGCAGCCTCTTTCTTTATTTAACGGGGACGTGGTTATGAGCCATTCTTTGCTGGCAGAACGAGCCGCTCCTCCCCAGCACGCAGCGGCTGCTGGCCGGGCAGCAGCTCTCGCACCGCCCCGCTCAGAGCGCGGCACCGCCGTGTGGGGAGGTTTAGGAAAAGCCACAGGGGCAGATGGCGAGCTGAACTTGTTTGCGCGCATTATCCAAACACGAGAACATCGTGGGGCTCGTTCCACGCCGTGCCTTTTTCTGCGGTTTGTTTTAGCCCAGGTGTCCGGCGGTCGCCGAGCCGCGGTGCTGCGCGGGCAGCGGTAGGTGGGGAGGAGTCCCAAAGCGGCTGCGTGGGAGAGGCGCAGCAGTACCGGCAAAGCGCGCGGCCGTTCCAGAGACGCGGGCGGCGGCGATTCCCACCCCGGGCCGCACGAGGCTCCATTCCGCGTCGCGGAGCGGCGGGGGCGGCGATCCCGGGGGGGCGGGGCTCGGAGGCGCGGGGCGGCGCGGGGCGGGGCTCCCGGCGGCCTCGGGAAGGCGGGCGGGGCGAAGCGAGGGCAATCTGTGCCGCCTCGGGCTCGGCCTTTCCTCCGCTCCGCCGGCGCCAGGTAACGACCACCCCGGCGGCGGCACCCCGCTTCGCGTGCCCGCGGGCTCCCGGCGGAGCTTCTGCCGCGAGGCGGAGCCGCCCGGCCCTGCCCTGCTCTGCCCGCGGGACGGGGCCTTCCGCGGCCGTGGGTGGGCGGCTCCCCTTTCTCTCGCCGGTTTCCTCGCGGAGCTCGCCGTGGCTCTGTCCGGCCCCGCGCCGCGTTTATCCGCTTCGGGGCGGCCCCGTGCGTTGCGCGGTTCTGGCGGGGCGCGAGGCGGCCGGCTGTGAGGTTCCAACGGACGTTGGGCCTCTTTGGCGCTCGGAGCTGTTTGAATCCGCGCTGCTGAGGCCGGAACGGCGGGCAGATGAGATGAGGTGCGCGCCGTGGCCGCCCGCGTTCCGCTCGGCCCGGTTGTTGGAGATTTTCTTGTCATAAGTGCTGCAGCAGCTTCACCCCCTGCCCCCGAGGAATTCTCGGTGTTGGCTCAGCGCGCGGCCGAGGAGCTGTGGGGCACTGAGCGCGCCTTCTGTGCCCCTCGGGCTCCTGTGTTGTTAAAGGCATCAGCCCTGCATGCAGCGCTGCCTGCCCGTGCTACACGACAACAGAGATGACAGGGGGCTGCAGCACCTCCCCTATGAAGACAGGCTGAGGAAGCTCGGCTTGTTCAGCCTGGAGAAAAGAAGGCTGCAGGGTGACCTCGTTGCAGCCTTCAGTACCTAAAGGGAGCCTACGAACAGGAGAGGAATCAACTCTTGGAAAGGGTTGATAACTGCAGGACAAGGGGAAATGGTTTGAAGTTGAGGGAAGGGAGATTTAGGTTGGATGTCAGGGGAAGTTCTTTGCAGAGAGAGTGGTGAGGTGCTGGAACTGCTGCCCAGGGAGGCTGTGGATGCCCAGTCTGTCCCTAGAGGTGTTCAAGATCAGGTTGGATGGGGCCCTGGGCAGCCTGGGCTGGTATTAAATGTGGAGGTTGGTGGCCCTGCCTGTGGTTGTAGATTCATGATCCTTGAGGTCCCTTCCAACCCAGCCCATTCTGTGATTCTGTAACATCATTTCCACAGTGTCTGGGCTGTGGGGCACAGGGCTGTGCTCTCAGTGGTGCTCAGCTTTGGTCCTCCCCTGTAGCAGAGGAGCAGAAGTGCAGTGAGGCACGGAGCTGTTTGGAGGCAGTGGCTGTTCTGGAGCGAGCTGGTGAAGCTTTATGTCTGATAAGGGGAAGAAGCGTTTGGTTGGCCTTGGTGCATGTTTGCTCTTCACTGAAAAGCAACACTGTCTGTCACATGTTACAGAAAAGGAGAATTCACCAGCAAACTGCAGGGCTGATGCTGGTTTGGATGCTCGCAATCTCTTTATCTCACTGGTTGTCAGATTAACATCTGACAATTAAAAAAAAAAACACCTTTATTTTACTTATTTTCCTTATTTTTAAAAGCTTGTCTTACAGCTTAGCAGCCCGCTGGTTGAGCTCAGCGCTGTGGTGAGCACAGAAATGAACACCTGATTTCCTGCCTTGCTCTCAGGGCTGTTATCTGTCCATGTCAGCCCTGCAGGTGCTGGGGGCCGCCTGTCGCTCCTCCCAGCTCCACATGTCGGCACATGTGGCTCGGACCCGCGGTGCCAGCTGCGGGCCGGGAGGTGGGTGCATCATGCACGATCAGAGTGCTGGATTCCTTTTTTTCCCCTTTTTTTTCTGGTAGAGAGCTGCTTGGAGTTGCTTTATGGGGATGCGGGCGCTCGGCACCGCGTGCCTTTCGTTAGCTCAGCTCGATAAACACGAGGACCGCGTTGCACGAGCTTGAAAAAGAGTGCTTTCCCCGCAGCGCCGCGCGGGAACCGACGGCAACAGCCCGTGGGGCGGCCGCTGGCTCCGAGCCGTGCTGCGCTGCGCCGGGCGGCCCTGCGGCGCCGTGGGCCGGCGGCCATTTTGCGCTGCGCGGGCACGCGGCGGGATCCCCGCGCACAGCGCCGTGCCGGCCGCTCCTCGGCGGCGGTTCCTGCGGCGCTGCTCCTCTCAACACCGCGCGGCAACGCGGAGCTCCGCGCCGTGCGGAGCGCTGACCGCCTGTGAGGCGGCCGGCCGCGGAGCTCCGCGTAACTTCCGGCTGGGAGCGTCGGTTTGATGGCCGTGTTGTTGTGTTTTGTGTCAAAATGACGCCGGTTGTTTGTTTTTAATCGAGTCCTGCTGTAGCACGGAGCTCTTTGCCCTTCAGCCTGTTGGAACTTGTAGTGATTGGAAGTACGGAGCGCTCCATGAGGCATCGATTGACTGAGGAATTTGCCTTTAATACCGAAAAGAGAAACCTTACTGGTTATTCCAAGTAGTACAAAATTTGAAATTGCAAATAAAAATAGCTTGCTCTCAGGAACCGTACGTGACATGCTCTGCTTCCACTGCTGTTAATAATTTATCCAGAAGTTGCTTTAACTTTGCAAGCATGTGAAATCATAAGCAAATAAGCTCCACTAGGTGGGCTCTACGTCAAGTATTGCTATCAACATCTTTCTAAAGCTTTAAATGTGTTGTCACTGCAAAACCTCCAGGCAATTGATTTATTTTACTGTTAGTATTTGTCCCACCCCCAAAAAAAGGTATTGCTAAAGCATTGCTCAAGTGCTGCCTTGCTTCCTTTGTGCCCGCTGCTGTGGCCCAGCAGTTACCAGTTGCAGGGTGCTCCAGCAGTTACAAAAGCTTTTCTGGGTCTTAGAAAACCAAAACCAAGTCTCCTGCTCAGTAACTTTCTGGTGAGTGGTTTGACTCTGTGAGGTGGTGTTTTTTCTTTGACACAAAGGTGCTCTTCAGGAAGTGCTGAGATAGAATTGTCCACATGCTCAAAGAAGCGTATGAGGATGGGGCTTATCTTTGTCCTTATATGTGCTTGTAGTGTATATTCAGTGTGTATTTGGTGCTGCTTCTGCTCTTCTGACCCTTCTCTGCTTCAAGGCCGCTATCAGAGCATCTCAATGTCTGCAGTACAACCAAGGAAGCTTGCTGCAGTGCTTCTGGGGCTTTGTTAAGGCTGTCTAGTTCTGAAAGTGATCATCAAATCAGGTAAACAGGCTCATGAAGTAGTGGTGTGGCCTTGTGTCACTCAGACACTTGGTATTCCACATTCTCCAGGAAACAGCCAAGGGACTTTGTTAAAAGGTAAATTCTGCAGCACTGATTACAGGAGTCTCTGGGCTTCCTTGTGTTCTGCCCAACTCAGAATTTGCTTGAGTTGCAAGAGGGAGCTGAAGCTTGAGATGATTGTTGTCATCTGCTTCTCTAAGCAAACAATCCAGCTGTCTCCTCAGTAGAAGTTTCGAGGCCATTTAAAAGTTAAGAGTGATGGCAGTGATGTGACACAGCTGTCTAATCTCTGCTTGGGTTTTGAGTGAAGTTTGTGCTTCTCTTCAGTTGCCTTTAACTTGTCTTAAACATTTCCTTTGGTACATTTTTAGGCAATTAAATGTTTTATAGGCTTTCTGAAGGAAAAAGCTATGCTTAGTTTGCACCTGGTGAAACTGACAACAGAGCTCAGGCCTACATGAATCTGAGTCTGAACAAATCCCTGGGGACCTAAGTTGTAAGTCTCATGAGCCCCCAGATGTTGGAACTGGAGCTCTATTTTGTGTCTAGCTCTCATGGCTTTAAAATTCCAAATTATTCAATTCTGGTTTTTTGCTCCAGTTGTATATGAAAGTTTTGTAAACAAGAGGAATTAATGGGCTGGACAAAGAAAGGAGTGCTGTCAAGCACAAGTGAACAAATTAGAGGGTTACTGCTTTCCACCCACACCTGCTCTGCCCTGTAGCTCTGCTGTAATACATACAACGCTTCCAAATAAAGTGAGTTCTCTTAAATCAATCTGAACCTGGCAGCCAGATTTAAAAAAATATTTAAATCCAGATTCATAGTAAATTTGAAGGGCCTGTTTTTAAAAACTGTGGTGGTTATCCCTGAGAAGATTATTCTTGAGTTGTATTTAAGGCAGTTAAGGCAGCTCCATCTCTTTGAAAATGAAGTAAATGTTTTTCCTTTTCAGTATGAGTTAATTTTAGAGAATCAGAAAAACAGAGAATGAGATAAAATTGCTGAATCTTGTAAGAGGGGTCTCTGGCTGTGGGGTGGTGGACTCTTGTGCTGGAGATCTCGGTGCTATGAAAACCAGCTGTTGCTAGAGCCAGTATGAGTATAGTCAAGGTTTTCCATTTAGCAGTGCCACTGTCACGTATGCGTTTTACAGAGCTCAATGTTGTGTTTCAGGCTTGATCAAATAGGGAGTTCAGGTTCTACCACTTAATTCCAAGTAACGAGTGAGCTTTTGGAGAGGGAGAAAAGAACAGGAGAAGCCTGAGCCAGTGTGTTGTTTTTCAAAGTCTGCCTCTGCCCCGTCCACGTGAGCAGCAGGAGGAGCTGGGAAGGTGTGGAAGTACTGGGGCTGTGTGGGAAAACACTGCTGGATGTCAGCAGCATGACATAACGGGTGCTGAGCTGCCAGTTAAAAGCTAAGGATGTCAGTACAAACTGAACACGGGTGCTGCCCCAGTTTAGATCAGCCATTGTCATAGTTCTGAAGTTTCATCATTTTGAAATTCACTGTTTCCACTTTCACTGCTGGGGGAATTGCTGCTCTTTGGTCTCCATTTTTCTATGGTCCCAAAGGAGGGCTGTTTGTTGTTAAGGCATGGCAGCAGTTGTTTGCTGTAGCACTATTCTGTGCTTATTCTAGCACACTCAGACTGCCTTGCCCATACTTCTTCACTATTGGTTTAAGCTTCTACTAAATAAGCAACAAGTTTGGAACAAGTGAGGGAAAGATCATTTGAGGGAAATGTCATCTTTGAAATCTCCAAAACAAGTGTGTGAAGAGCAGAAGAGAGACCTTTCTCCTCAGTAACCCCACGGATGCATGGGAGGTGCCTGCATTCAGGAAGCTGCAGCGTTTAGGTCTGTAAGCTGTGATTTAGAAACAAGCAGGAAGTTCAGCTGTCAGCAGCAAAGGAAATGTCCTCCTGCTTCATTGCCATCGGGATTTGGAGGCTGCAGAGGGAGTGGTAAAGGATTTCAGTGTGACATGCGGAGGTTCCCTTTTGAACTGGCATTAGCAGTGCCTGGGACTCCCTGTGCTTGTTACCTTTATTTTTCTATGCTTTTTTAGGTAACTGTACAACTAAAGACTCCTTCAGAATCACAGACAGCATCCCTAATATGAGATGCCTGTTGATGTTTTGTTTACAAGAATTAAAACGTAGCCAGGGACACGTATATTTTAGTTAGGCACGTCAGTGCAGTTGTGTGGAATATCCTTTCCTGCTGTTGAAACAGAAGCCATCGATGAGCTGGAAATAGCCAGGATTCTGCTCTGCTAACCATGCCCATCCAGAACAGCCAGACCTCTGTTGTTAACCATGAGTAACCTACTATCAAAGAACCTCTTCTAGGAAAGCAACATTTTTCTCATGGCAAATTGGGTACTGAGGGTCTCAAGGATTTTTGTTTTGTTTTGCAAATATTTTGAAATGAAAGATCAGTTTACATAATACTACAAATAGTCACCCGAGTTCCTCGATGCAGCACCATCAGGTTTTTCCTTCCTGAAACTCTGATGCCTTTTGAAGATTTTATAGAGGGTTTTCTGTTTGTGTTTTTGTTTTGTTTGGGGGCACTGTGTTTTTTTTCTTTGCCTGTTGGCACTGAGGACAGTTCTAGCAATGTGAGTCATTTTGCAGTTGCTCTTCTGTAAGGGTGTGTACCCAGTGTTTCTATTACTGCAGCAAGTTAACTGTTAACAAATATAACAAGTCAATGTGAAACACGTGAAGCCTCCTTGCTGCTTGGCAAGTGGCATTCAGAGGGTAAAAGGATTTGAATATATGTAAAAACTTGTCTCAAGTTTCATATACTGAGCATTGTTGGTGTGTAATGCAGCTGTGCTGTGCTCAGTGGCCTTTTGAAGCAGAGCTCTGTGAAGAGACCTGAAAGCACAGTGAGGAGGGGCCAACATCTGGCTGCTGAGCTGCTGGGCCTGGTAGTATGGTGAGTTCACATGGAAGTGATGCGGCTTTGCTGTGATAAAGCCTTGCCTCATGTTACTGCACGGTTCCAGAGAACTCAGAAATGACTTGAAGGAGGCTATCATCAAAAACCCACCAGCAAAGCCCCCGGCCTGCAGTCGGAAGTAAGCTGAGCTCCGTGCAGGGCTGATAAGGGCTGTGCAGCTCTGGCAGCTGTGTGCTGGAACACTGAGAGCTCCGTATTTTGGTATCAGTCACTTGAATTATTTCAGTACTTGGAAGCACAGGCTGAATAACGCAAGGGCTCCTATATTGGCTTTATACAACTGTAAGTCATTGCATTGCTTTATTTTCACCTTTTACAGTATGATTTGAAACTGTCACCATGGACTTTTCACGTCTACATACGTACACTCCTCCCCAGTGTGTGCCAGAGAACACTGGCTATACATATGCACTCAGGTGAGAACTTTTTTCTTCTTATAGAGAAACTGTATGTTCTCTGAATGTTGTTAATTCTGGAATAGCTTTCGTGGTAAGTAGAGAGCCTCTCTGCAGAGACGTGCTTGAGTGGGTCTGTTCTGAAATGTGTCCTCAGTGCAGGAGGGTGTATGTGCTGAACTGATGGGACAGTGATGGAGGCAATGACTCAGTGTTTATTAGTTGCTATGGGTAGATGAGTCCCCACCTAGTTACACTTTCTGTTTTCTCTCAGAATGTCACCAAATTCTTCCATGTTTGTTAGATCTCTAATGTTTGTACGTCCTTACTGTTGCTAGAAGTCACATATTGATCACTTTAAAATCAAAACTACCTGTTGTGTAAATATAAAAATCTGTCTTCTAATCAACTTTTCTTGTATTTTTTTAATTAAACTGACCATTAGATTGTACTGAAATCATTTCAGTTTTCTAAAAAAAGAAACTCCACCCAGAACTCTGCAGTCGTTGCTGTTTCCTCCAGTGCAGTGCAGACAGTTGTTGTGGTGCCCGTTGGAGTTTTTGAATGCTAACAGAGCAGATTGGCTGTGGATTAAATCCATCTCGTTTTTCCTGTTGAGTTAATAAACGCATTTTGAAGCCAGTATGCATGAACGGGTCTGAGTGACTGCTTGGCTTAATTGCAGCTTTAAAAAAATGATTGCTCATTAAGATGGAGTGAGATTTGTTTCTTCTGTGCCTGTATATCATCGCTGTGTATTTGATGTCTGTTAACTCAGTGTTTTGTTTGGAGAACGCTTGGCTGCTTGCCTATAAACCAGAAATTGGCAGAACCGTGCGATGACCAATTAATAGTAATTCTTCCTTTTGTGTGCTCTGAAGTTGAGTAGCTTTGTAGTTTTGAGGACTGGGTTGGGGTTCATTTTCTTATCTATACACTGATGTCAGCAATTTTTGCAAAACTGAATGCATGACTGTTTTACCCATTAAAAGCAATTGCAGCTGTTCTTTAGGTCTTAAGAAAGCACTGGGTGCAATGTTGCTTAATGCAGGTGTGCTTTCCAGCATCAGGAAAGAGTGTGCAGGACAGCATGAGATGCCCTGATTCTTTAGGAGGGTTAGGCAGTTTGTTTGGTTTGATGTCTCATGGTGTATCTTCGTTAAAAAGAGCTGCAGAATTGTCTAATTTGATTTCTTTCCCTGAGGTTTATATTTGTGTGAAACAATACTACTATTTCCAACTGTGCAAGCTTCTCCAACCTTTTTTTTTTCTCGCAGAGGAGGGGAAAAAATAGAACTCAGTATTACCTTAAGAAATGAAGATTGTTAGCTCTGGGCCTTTTTTTGTGTCTTGCAAAGAATATTACAGAAGTGAAGCTCAATAGTGTGCTCAAACTATCATGGGTTGGAGCCAGGCTGAGCTGCATTGCTGTTCTTGCCTGCTGTCAGCTAGGAGTTTGTTTCTCTCCCAGGCAAGCAGGGATAACTGTATGAGTGTGGCTGGCTGCCAGGAAGGGAGAGTGCAGAGCAAGTGCTGTTAGAAATGTGGAGCGCAGTTTAATTTGATGGTAGTTCTTGTGCAGAAGGCAACTGGAGTGTTTGGCTTCTTACATGAACAAGGATGGTCGTGTTGCAAAACTGAGGAATCGCAGAGAAGTTTTTGTGGAAGGGGAGAGTTGCATCTGCTGGAGCGTGCTGACATGGTGTTTCACTGCGTTACATGTTAGGGCTGCCTAACCTGACTCTTAAAAGTGGGCTTAATGAAGGCAGATAGTTATTCTGAAATTAATTCCATCGTTGTAGCTTTTCCTTCAATTGAAAGAAAAGATCACACAGTGCTCTCTAAATGGAGCATCTTCTTCATGGAAAATGGTGTGATGTTCAAAAAGTAAAGTAATGGGGGAAACTGCCTGGTGCAGAGCCTGCTTTCAGGGTCCATGGGTGAGCTGCAGTCTCGCTGTGTGCTGCTCCTCTCGGTCTTTGGGTCTGTTAATATTTGAATAATCTCAAGTGAGGTTGATTTCAGCAGAGCTGATAATCCCAAGTGTTCCCATGCTGAAGCTCCTCCTCCCCTGCTCACTGGCCCACATTGGCTTCACTTTATATCTGATAACACTCATTCTGCTTTTGGCAATTGGATCTTTACAGAATCTGGGAGTTTCTCTAAAGGAACTTGCTTGTGTGTGCAGCTTTGCAGGAAAGTTCATTGAAGTTAGATAGCACAGAGCTATTAATAGAGTTGGCTATAACCTATTTAAAGGATTTCTATTAATACTCCCAGTGATTGCTCTGAATTCATAACTGTAGCAGTTCTGCTTTGTGCTTTTAATCTTCCAACTCAAATCTGAAAAGCACTGAGCTGAAGTAACTAAATAACCTTTATCCTCCACGAGCTGCAGGCCAGACCTGTGAGTCTCACTCACCTGTCAACACATAATTTCCTCCCCACCCCTCGAGCTGCTCTCTCCTTGTCACCCACCCTCAGGGATGCCCTTTTTGTACCTCTCAGGTACTTTTAGCACTTTTCTCTTTCCAAACATAATGAGATTTTGGCTTAACTTTTGGGTCACTGCACTACGTCACATACATCTCTTTGTAAAAGTGGATAATGGAAGACTATCTGTATTTAAAAAAATACACACGTTCTGGGACTGACCAAAGCCATGACTACAGCTCGAGGTGATGTCCATCAATTAATGTAAGTGATGCTCTCCTCACAGAGCAAATGGACGTCACGTACTGTCTGTATGCACATGATGTCTGTTTGGTTCTACATCTCCTAGGTGCGCTGCATTCTTCTGTCACAATCTTAAGTAATCATGAACCTTACTGCCCACTGCTTTCCAAAGTGTACTTATAAAATAAATTACATTTCATGCCCTCTAGAGAAAAGGTGATGTGTGCTAAAACTGACAGGCATCATTTTCATTCTGCTTACCAAGTTATAACTTGGGATTGACCACTGGAGTGGGTATCTTCTAGGAGCTCATGTGAAGGAGGTACCAAGGGCACAGCTGGGAGTAGATGTGAGGCTGCTGAGGGCAGAGGTGTGCCAGCAGCCAGGGGAGCTGTCGGGAGGAAGGAGCCCACCTGCACTGTTACATGTTACTTAGGAGCACAGGCTAATTGCATCCTGCCTTCAGTAAGTTGTTTGGCTAGTCTTATGCATTTGGTGGGAATAATATCAATGTGTAGGTTCATTTCTGTCCTTTGAAAGAAAGGCCTGGTTGTTTTTTTTCTTGTCAATTTGTAAATTTAGTTTCTTCTATGGAAGGAAAAGATCTAGCTTTCCAAAACTTGAAACTGAGGTGGGAAATTAAGGGAGGTCTCCGTCCTGTCCTGCCTTTGGAGACTTTGTTTCAATATGAAGAGGGTTATTTTCTTGCATAAATGGGAGAAGCTCTCTTGTTAGCCTAGGGGAAAAGATACAATGATTTTCTGTTGTCAGGTTTTTGTTAAAGGTGGTGGGGCCAACTCCAAGCTGGGTATTCAACCCAAACAGTTACCAGTGCTCATTGAGATACCCAGTAACAACAAGTGTTCGCAAACAGAAACAAATGAGCTGCTTACAGCTGTCAGCTTGCCCTGTGTACTTTGTATTCTTGTGAATTGAGTGTCTGTAAGAAATGCTGGGGGCAGATAAGGATAAGCAAATGCACAGTGGCAAGTGTAAATAGCAAAATGAGTTCTGAAACAAGTGGTAGGGAGGGACCCAACTGTGAACTATTGAGACTCTGATAATTTCAGAATGGACAGCAGGAAGAGTCACATTTGACCTGTCTTCTCGCTTCACCTCTGTCAGAACGCAAGCCTGCATTTATCGTTTTTGAAATCACTGTATGAATTGTTACTCTGTGCCTTTCCTTGTGTGAAAACAGGTGTAGTTGATACTTGGAAGCTCCTGGCTATTTCAATTTTCCCTTGCCCCAAATACAGAGAAGGACTGATCACAACTCATGCACTAAAGCATGCTGGGTTTATGCGAAGCAGTGTTTGAGGCTCCTGCCTTGCCCAAGGTTGTGCTCTGTATGGGCAGCGCTGGCAGGGCAGATCAGTGAGATGGAACAGGTGGTGCCACAGGCCTGCTGCCAGATCTGAGTACCTCTGGGCAATAGGAGTTATTTCAGACAGAGACCAGTCTCTGGTCCTGTGGGCCGAATGCCTGCCTGCTGCTGGAGCACCCAGCTGTTTGCCCACAGTGTGCTGGCTGGATTAGGCTTTTTAGGTGGAACTTCCCATTTGTGTGCTCCAACTCTGCTGTATCCTACATGCAAGTCAGAAACTCGTTTCAGAAGCACCCACCTGTCAGAGCTACGTCACGGCTTGGGGTGCTGCTGCTGGGACTGCCCATGTTAACTTGTTTGCATGCTAGAGTAATACATTGCATATCACATGATTACTTTGTGATGTTCTGGGGTTTTCACACGCTGTGAGAAAAGTTTTTGCATTCAGAAGATTGTTTTTGCAATAATACTTGTTGCAGCAGCTTTTGTATTCTGGAGAGCATCCGTTTCAAATTCAGACTGCACAATAGCATCTATTGAGCTCTACTTTATTTGCTTATTCCAGGGGCTCTTGGGGGCAGGAGCCTCTATAGGTAACACTTCATACCTTCTCACTTTTCTTTTCCTTTTGTTTTTGAGAGAGATTAAAAAAAAAAAAATGGGTGGGGAGATAAAAGGGCACCCAACTCCCAGAGCATTCAAGTAACTGCTGTTCCAGCTCTGTGCATCCCTGAGAAGACTCCAACGGAACGCTGGCCTAGAGCAGTTGTGTTGGGATGCTTTGGTTCACCATGCTGTAGGACCTGAGCTTCTGCTGCACGGTGTCCTGTAATGACAAGCTCTGCTCCATTGTATAACTGAATGTTTCCTTTCATTGCAAGAACAAGTATTCTGCTCTAGGCTAAACTTCTGTCTTAGTAAATGCATGTCTTATTGATTCTTCTGCTTAATCTGTATTTGCCTTGCTCTGCTGTTGCATGCTCTGTCTTCATTGTGAGTTCTTATGAAGCTTCTGAAAGAATCAAGTGTGTGCGTGTGGATTTGATTTCTGGGATACTGGAATGGAGCTTACCTACGTGTGTATTTGCCTCTGTGGGATAAAACAGCAAGCAAAAAATTGAATAAAAAAAAGACAAAGGAGAATTAAGTGTCACCTTGTGACACAGAATGCATCGTGATTGTCTTATTTGCAGCGAGGCATGGGAAAGCAGCTTTGTGTCATAAATGGTTTCGTCTCTTTGATTGGTGCTAAAAGCGCCATGTCTGAGGCTCACAATGCCTGCTCTGCCTCAGCTGCAGGTGTCGTTTCCATGGTATTTGTTTCTTTCTTGTGGTTTGCTTTCTGTTTGTTAAACCTGTAATAGGAATTGCTCTTTGTGCTCCTGTTATCTGGGTAATATTGCATGTCCTGTGGAACTTGCTCCGTAACCCCAGATAAATTGCTTTTAATTGGAGCTTAGTCTAGCTTGGAGGGCATGCTCATTTCTAGGGGGATTTTCTCTTGAATTCTAACTTTTCTGTTCTTATTTTTGTTTTAGTTCAAGTTATTCTTCAGATGCTTTGGATTTTGAGATTGAACACAAAATAGATCCAGTGTTTGATTCACCAAGGATGTCACGGCGTAGTTTGCGGTTAGCTGCTTTAGGAGTTAATAAACCAGACAGTGCCCGAAATGATATCCTCCATGACAGCTCTTACTCCGGGAGCGTCACTTTCAGGGAACAGTCTTCTAAGTAAGCATTTTCTATCCTCACAAGTTAATTTCTTGGTTGCAGTCTTGAGAATTCCTGTCTGAACACGATAAAGCAGGAATGGATTACTTGCTGTTTCATTTCTTGTTCTCAGTTTAATATCATAATTTAGAGTGTATGGTTCACAACGAATTCTTTGTAAAGCTGGAGCAGCACAGAAGTAAGAATTTTCTCTGAAACCTGATTGTGGCTGCCCAGTTACATCAGTGCTGAAAAAGCTTGTCTTTTTATTAAATTCTTTCATAAGTGAAAAACAGAAACTTGTATCTGTTAGTGCTCTTCTTGTTTTCTCATTGCTTTGTTTTCTAGCATGGTGAAGCAGCGCAAAAGCATAAATAAGCAGTCTGGCAGTGTGAGAGACATGCCAAGGAAACATCTGTCCAGCTCTCCCGTTTTTAACCAAAGCAGCTTCCTCAGCCGTGCCAGCGATACGTCGATGGTGTCCACTGTGCTGGATGAGTCTTCGATTCGAGAGCAGACAGAAGTTGATCATTTCTGGGGTAGGTCGTGGATGCTATTGGTCATATCAGACTGTCAAAGCTGCTTACAGGTCGTGTGTGAACGTTTTCACATCATCTCTCTCTTGCTCACCCATTTTCCCATCGTGCCCCCTGTGTGTACTTCTACTTTTATGTAGGTGTCTGCTTTGCTGAGATACCTGCTGGAAATTCACACTCCATTGTGTGAACGTTGGTGAACTTGTGTCTTTATTGTTTCAAAGTGTTGGTAGAATAAACATGTAAGTTCATGAAGTTTCTTTTGAAAAGCCAAAGGAAAAGCATATTTGTTTGTTACAGGTGGAAATGTGTTGGAATGTAAAGTGCCTTAACCTGAAAGTTTGAAGTTGGTGATGCCTCAAGATTTCCTGGGGGTTTTTGTGTACGATTGATTAATAGTTTTTCCTAAGTGTGAACAAGCATCCTCTTCTGGAGTCAACCTCTTAATCTGAAGAGAAAATGTGAGAGTCGCCTTCATGAAGTGTTGTGTAGGAGATCAGCAACTTACTGTAGCACCAAGTTCAGACTGCTTGTTTCCAGTCAGTGTGTTTGTGACTGTCCCAGAGTGAGAATGCAAAGAATTGTTTCAATTTTAGTAGAAAGCATGGTAAGGTTTGGGTTACTTGTCTGTGGTAGCACTGTATGTTATAGATCCAGATTGAAAAGTAGTTACTAAGCAAGAAAAACAGTGTAAGTTTGTGATTAGCTGCTTTGAAGTGAAATGGGAGGTAAGAGAAAGTGTAATTGGCATCCATACTTGACTGCTTCTGTGACAGGACACTTCTCATATCCTGTTATGATAGGATATATGAATCTTCTCCTGTAATGGACTGAAAAATGTTAGATCTTCAAGTGACTTTTCTTTGCAGTCATAAAGTTAGCAGGACCCCAGCTTTGAGTTCACATCACACATCATAGTTACTCATGGGGCTTTTCTTATCTTTGTGAACAAATTTTTTTTCTTTCTTCTTTGAAGGTCTTGATGATGATGGTGACCCTAAAGGTAACTACGCCTTTCTTTTGCTTCTCTAAGAGTTCTGTTTAATGGTGACTAATGACCTTAATAATTCTTGCACTGAATGTCCTGCTCCTGGTTCCCTAGGTAGTGATGCCACGCTCCTGCAGAGAAATGGTGATATAGCAACAGCAGAAACGCAGACCACAATGATAAATGGCTACACGTGCAGTGACTGCAGCATGCTGTCTGAACGAAAGGAGGTTCTTACAGCGTACTCTGCTGCTCCTGGGCCATCTTCCAGGATTTATTCCAGGGACAGGAGCCAGAAACATGCATCTAGTAAGTAACTTTCTCTTGTGCTTTCCCTGAGTAGTAGAACAGTATGTGGCTTAGTTGATACATTTTTGCATAGTGCTAATTAAGTACTGCTCCTACCCTGTTATATGTATTAATAATGAAATTCTTGTGATTCTTTTACCTTCTATGTGTCGGATGAACCTCTCGTATCCTAATAGATTACATGATTAAACTGACACAGAGCACAACGGGCTGTTCATCCAGCACAGGTGTTCAGGCATCTCTTGATCTGTCATTGGACCTACATTTGTCTCTCCATGGATTTTCACATAGGAACTTTTTCAATGCGATCCCAATTTCTTATGTGATTTGAATTTTCAAGATGGAGCAGAACCATTATTTCAGCAGTGCCTCTGTTGCCCAGGGAATTTCTGAGGAAGAACTCTTTCTTCTCACGTAACCTTCCAGTGTTTATTTAGGAGCTGAACCTCAACCACTACAAGAACTGAACTCCAAAGGGCAGAACTGTTTTCAAGTTGACTTGTAGTGCCTGCGTTCCTGAAGCATGGAACTGAATCTTCAGTGAATGTTCTGCCTTTCCAAGGCAATCTCTGTTCTCTGCAGAGTTGGCCTCATGTCTTGGTGTCTGTCTGCCTCTTGCGTTGCACCCTGAGCTTCTTGATGCTTGGTGGTCCTCACTAATCACTACTCAGGTGTTCCTTTAGTGGCCTGAAAATGAAGGGAAAAAAAAAAACAAAGGACTCTGTAGATGTGTTATTCTTTAATGATGTATATTTCCAGTTAGCTGTAAGTCTTTAGATTTTGGACTGCATGGTGCAACTTTAAATACTTAAGGCAAGTTTTCCTTTTTGGAAGTTGTGTGGCATAGGTAGGAATTCTGTTGTCTTGACATAATGAGCTGCTTAGCAACACTGTATAAAAGCTGTTCTGTTTTCCAGAGTTTGTATTCACCAAGGAGAATCTTAAAAATGAGCTCATCTTCATATGTTCTCCTGAACTTGAATCTGATGTTTGGGTTAAATGAGTGCTGGGATCGAGGAGCCCAAAATCATGGCAGGCTTCTGAAATGTGGCTGTTTCTAAGAAGCAGCATGGAGAGCTTCATCCCTGCTGCTCTAAAGGAGAAGCATCTCTAAAGCACTTGAGGCAGACCACTGCAGTGTCTTTCTTATTCCAGTGCAAAGGGGAAGAGAAGATGAAAAGTTATCTCCCTTTCAAACCAGAATTGTTTGGAGTTTTGACATCACAAAATCAGTATCAGAAAACTTTAGTTATGTAAGGAAGGATTTTGTTGCTATTTGTTGGAGTTTTTAATTCTCACTAAGGTACTCTTGCCTTCAAGGCAGATACCTTGGCATTTCCTGCAGGTTGCATAGTCCATGCAAAAACATTGGCCTGTAATTCCTAATGCATCTAGACTTCTCGATTCATGCTTGCTGAACTTTCATACTCCTGGCTAGCCTGAAGCTTTTGATGCTTAGTTCTCACTTTTCTGCAAGCTAATGCTCACTGGCGAGTAGAGGTGCACCTCTTTGCAGGTAAATAATTTGTGTTCACACTTCTTTTTCAATAGGAGGCACCTATTTCTACGTCAGTAAGATTCTGCGATTGGTCAAACACACTGCAGCATCTCTTGCATCACTATTAGTGCAACTATTTCAAATGGTTTTGCTGAAGCAGAGTTATGAATCTAAAGGTACCTTTTCAGTTGTCTTTCTCGGTTTCCACACAAAACCAGTGTGTGTTTTTTGTTCTTTGACTTTCTTCTGGACTTCTGTGGCACTATGATGTTTATCTATATCCTGGCTGGCTCCTATTTTCCTATCTTTTATTATTTTGTTAATTCTCTCACTTGTGCTACACTTTGCATATTTTTCTTCTGTTTTCAAAATACCAAACATCTTTGTTACAGTTAAGATCCATGTGTTGATTTCCTATTTTTTTTTTTTAACTAGGAAAAGGCAGAAGTTGCTTTTCAGAGCTGTTCTGTGTCACAGAGTCAAGTCTGAACTTTTTTCTTCTTGCCCTTCAGTCCGCTGCATACTCAGAGCTTTGTTATATCTGTCTTGCAAAGCTGAAAGTGCAGTTGTTGCTCTGCACATCTTGTTTCCCTTGACAAACTTCAATTCCTCTTCGTTTTTCCTTCCGCATCATATGCTCTGAGTGAAACTAAATGCTGTAAGCAGAAAGTAATTGAGTTTTTGTGATTGTATGAGACTTTTTTGATGTCCGGTCTGTTCCTTTCTACCTTAGTGCTTTATGACTTGTAAGTGCTCTCTTCTCAGTTACTTAATGTTTCTGTTGGGGACAACACGAGGATGTGGCTCACTGACAGGAACAGGAATTCAGGGATTGATACTTAGGATTTTTTTTAAACTAACTTTACTATCTGAAAAGAGAACTTTTTTTTTTTTAAAAAACAAAAATGCCCCTTTTTATTTAAAGTAGAAAAAAGCAGGATTACACGAGGTAGGCTTCTTTCAGGGTCACAGTTCAGGTTTCCTTCAGGTAACCTGGCTTCTAATAGCAATCCAAGTGAGTTTGATCAAAATCCGGTGATAGGAAAGGCTTTGAGGTTGAGAATTATGTTCTATTTATCCTTTCTGGATATATTGCAGCTCACTCAGATTACTGTGGAAGCATGAATATAAAGGAGTTTTACAGAGAGGACAGCCGCTTTGGTGTCAGTGAGGAATCAATATGTAAGTATAACCACTTCTGTTGCCTTCAGCCTTGGGCTGTGCGCTGTGTTGTTGCTATGAGAGCAGTTTGTGCTTCGTGCCTCTGTGGAAGCTTCAGAGTAAATGCTTATTGTCTAGCTTAAATGCAGAGGGCAGAAAAGTGATTCCCATTCTGTACCCTTGCCCCAGACAAGTTTTAGCCTGTTGGAATTTGATATTTTTTGGCTTGGTAACTGCTAATGTGAAGTAGACTTGTTCACGTTGTCTTGTAACGTTCTTGATTTGATCCTGGCTTTGTCCCATTAATCATCTGTTACCACAATCAACAGGTGATGACTGTAAGGGGAAGAAACAGCTTGAAATACACACCACAGAGCACATGCAATCCTCCAGGGCTAAAAGGGTAGCAAGGACCATTTCGCACATCTTTTCTTATGCAGGTTGACTCGGACCTTTTTTATTTTGCTTTTATTTTGCATCAATCTGTTAATCATTCATATTGTTTTGTTGTTCTTATCTTTATCCATTGAGTAGACTAAAATGTGCAGCATTGGGGAAATTGATTTACTTAACATCTTTTTCATTTTGACTTATTGTGCTGATATTGGCTTTTGTGCAGGCTTGGTGGGCTGCTTATGTAGTTAAAACAAAGTGTGATGAAGGCATACAGCTTGTGTTTGAGAAAGAAAATTGAGATTGCTAGCTTATTGTGCTTTGGGAAATCCGTACTCTTGATAGGTGGAGAGCTGCCTTTAAATAAAAGCAAGATACGAGGTATTGATATACAGATGGTTTGAATAAAGGGTTTTTAACATCTTATTTTTGTTCTAGTGATAGTCAATTTTTGCAGGAATCTTATATAGTGATAGAATCTTCCCTGTGAGATGGGCGTTCCCTAGCTTGAATGGCAGAGGCATCAAGAATCTGTTTGAATGCTCTTTGTTCAGCAAAGGAAAATGATTTGAGACACTTCATTCACCTAAATGCTTTGCAAAATATTGGGTTGGTATACCTATAGTCCCTCAGATTAACCCAGACATGGCTCTAATCTGAAAGTGTAGGATTACTTTCTAAGTTGATTGTTAGTTTGTTCCATAGCGAGCAGTGCTAGCTGTGCATACAGTAACTGTGGGCTTCTGGGGGGTTTCAGTTACTGCATTTTGTCTTAGCATGCTGCATTTGACTTTTGCTTTCAAAGACTCAAAACTGACATTGTATTGCTTGCATCCTGCATTCAGTACTGAATGTCTGGTTATCAATACATAGAATTATCAGTTTTTTCTCTAGTATTTTAAACTTTAAGTATTTCCTCTTTTTGAACACGACTGGATAGTAAACTTGGTGTAAAATCTAGAACAAGAAAGATGCATAAAAAGTAATGTGTTTAAAGCATGTTTTATGGGAATAATTTCTCTCCATTATCAGTTGCACTTGGCTTGCTTATCTAAATGCCATGCTACAAAATGTGAACTTTGGCTGTTGTGAAGAGGGAAGTGGTTTTCTTACTGCTCAGAGGTTGTTGTCCATTACATCTATTGGTGTACAAGGGAATTCTGTTTCTAAATTGTCTTGCTTTTACTTAGATTCGTATTTATTGGTGGTTTAATTTGCTTTTAAATAGTGAGAAAAACAAGTCTGTAGATTGCTGAAGGGTATGGTTTAATACTGTGCAGAGCACGTAGTGGTTTGGGGATGGAGGCATTTCTACTGCATGTATTCAAAGAACCTTATTTGTATGTTGCCACATAGTTAATTTGTTATAATCTAGGTTACTTTGTGCTGCACGTGTTGCGAACGGTGGGAGCAGCTGGATGGTTTGTGTCCCAGAAGGTGTTGGCTCTGCTTTGGCTGGCCATTCTTTCCCCAGGTTACTACCCTGATTTGTGTGTATGTCTGTGTGTTGCCTGTTCCTTCTTGACAGATAGGAGGTTTGCAGTAGATGGCTGACACTAATTCTGCTTACTCTGGAGCTTGCATAACTTGAGTGCGCAAGCTGCTGTGCTGTACTGACCAAAGCATGCTTAGTGAGAGAGCATCCTTCTGCTCACAGGGGTAGTGGGACACGAGCTAGTCTGCTTCTTGAGGGACTGAGCGTGTTAATAGCCCAGCTGAGGGGTGTCAAAAAGAATGGGGTGTGTTTGGTTTGGAATTTGCTTCCTGCCATGGCATTCCTCGTAGTGAACTCACTCTGCTAATCTGTGCGTTTCTTGAAGCATGCTGAGCTCTTTAGTGTGTGATAACTTGGACTTGACGTTTCTTACTGAATTTTCAGGAAGATGTTGTTGTAACCAGTGAGATTTCATCTCGTTGCATGGCTGCTATTTTTGTTGAGTAGCTGAGGTTATAGTGCTGTCATACTGTGAGATACATCTAGATGTTAGTAATCTGTGTGTTGCTTGTGCTCGTGCATTTCTCTGCTCTGCAAAGTACTCTAGGCCACAGCTGCATGTCCCTGTTTGGTGTCCTTGAACATGTGGTGCAGTAATGTCACCTCTTTTGTCTTCCAGGGAGAGCAGCTTCTGGCATTTTCAGGTTGCTTAGAGCTGGCTGGAACCAACTTCTTGCTCTGATGTCTTTGCTGAAGGTGTTTATTCTTAGAAAGTATGTATCAATTATAAATCTTCTGTGAGCAAGTTCTGTTCCCAGTTATCAGATGAAATGTGATAATATGATTTCTTGCAAACTTTCTTCTCTTTCTCTAGATGCCTTCCAAAGGTTTCCAGGCTATTGCTGTTTCTCATCCCACTGCTGTTTCTACTAGGTATGTGAACTTACAGATTTCATAGCAATCAGTGTATGCTTACTGCTGCTTCAACAAAGGAGTACTTCTGGTTGGACTGTGGCATCATGGGGAAGATATAGAAGCTGAAAAGCCAAGTTTTGGTTTGTGAACAGTTTGTGAATGCTTCCAGAAAGTACTGGTGTGTCAGCAGGTTCTTGTTTCACGAAACTTCAATTTCATAGAGCTTTTCAGACATAGCAAGTAATTGTAAAAACACTGCAGTGCGTTGCTGCTTTTCACAGGAGCAGCACAGAGCTCATAAAAAAATCAGCTTTTCATTGTGTCAACCTGCATAAAAGCTGAGGGCTTTTGGTTGCTGTCAGTGTGTTTATGGTTTTTTATTAATGCATTCTTTCTCTCCATACTTACTTTGCTTGAAATACCTTAGATTAGCTGGCAATGTTCCAGGCCAGTTGTCTTCTTTGAAAGAAACTCCTATTGAAAGTATTTACTGAAGACACTGAGCTATTTTTGAGAAGCATTTTCGTGTCTTTTTATATCCTCAAAAAACTCAGAGACATGAGGAGTTGTATGGAGAATAAGAAAGCAAGAAGATATTCTGTGCAGAAAATGCTGTTTCTTCTCACTAAAATATTGCAGAAATAAGTACAATCTTTGTCAAATTCTATGTTTTCATGGAAGCATAAATTTTCTCAGACTTCTGCTAGGCATTATGCAGTGTGGTGTGTAGTAAATAGGGTATAAGGCAAGATGTTTTCCAGTAAGGTAAAAATTGTCAGTGAGTTATGGCCTGTCATATTCAACAGGTGAGATCTGTGTCCCAGGGCAGCAGTAGCATAAGATTAAGGTTAAGAACATATCATATATATACAGGAATCACCTGCAAGTGGTACTGATACTGCCTAATGCTTCTGGGTGCTTACCTTAACAGTTTTGAGATTGCCTCATGTAGAGAAGTTTTATTCAGGCTGGAGTAGTTTACTGTGTGGCAAAACATAAGATAACTTGTAGATTGAACTCCCTTTTTTGCTTTTGTTTTTGCTCACTGAAGGTTTATGGTTCTGGGGGTTTGACAGCTTTGTTGCATTGTTGCCTCTGTTGAACCGGACGAGAATTGATAAAGTGCAGAGCACAGATGACTCTGTTTATGTTCCTGGTCCACAACCTGATTCTTCTCGTTCTGTGCAGCCTCCAAAGGTAAGGGAGAACAGGGCGACAGCTTTCCCTTCAGACCTCCTAACTCCCCTCTTTGGCATTTTGCAATAACCACTTGACACCCAAGAGTAATAAAAATTATTTTTATATGTTAAACAAATGAATCTTTCTACCTTAGGATACCATAAATATATTTGATTCTGCTCGTATAAATGAGCTGGAAAAGCAGATGGCCTTCGTGTCCGACAGATGCCATCATCATGATGAAGAATATAGCAAAGTGCTGCTTCTACTCCATAATCTTCAAGATCAGGTTGCCCAGATGGGTGACAGAAATGAAATCTTGAAGCTAATAAGAAATGTGATGGATCAACATCTTAAAGATAAGAGGGTGGAGGAAAAGGTAACGGTAAGTCACTTACTGACCGTTTCTGAGACTGATCAGAGCTCTGTTCTGTTAATGCTGGTGATCAGTGATGTGACTTCTTAGGATTCTCTTTGTGGGGTGGAGTTGACTTATCCTGTCATTTACTGTGTAACAGTTATTTAGCATTCTTGAAAGCTTTGGTCACAGAATGAATGAAACACCATTTTAGCAAAGCACTTTGTACTCAAAGTATGCTGCCTTTTTCTTTCTTGTTTTTAAGACTGACTTCCTGGCTTTACATCAAGAGCACAACTTGCGCATCGTAACTTTGGAAGATCTTCTTAGAAAACTCTCTGCTGAGTTTAAGGTATGAAAGTTAGCTTTTCTAGCTAGATATAATAGTAATGTTCTGATGAAATAGGCAACAAACTATTTATTTTCTTCTGTCCTCAAACCTAGTTTACTTCACACTAGCTTTGAACATTTGTTTCACTGCATGAAACAACACGTTGTTTCGCTGCTAGTGTTCTTTCTTTTCTCCATTCTTGGCAGTGTTTTCAGTTCAAAGGTTAAAAATTGACCAGGAAGGTGGGTGATATTTGGAATAAAATCTTACTGTGTGGAGGCACAAAGAGAAGTAGGAACACAGCCTCATATAGGTGGTGCTAGAATGTCTCACTTTTTCACTTGATTCACTTGTTTTTTTTGTCTGTCACTTGTGTTATTGTGTTAAACCAAACTTCTGTTCTTGTTTTTAGGACATTCAGAAGGAAATTGAAATAGCCAAAGCAAAAGCAATTAGGTATGAGCACTTAATTTTTTGTCTAGCTTTGAAGCTCACTAATGATGATAGGCTTTTTTTTTTAATACAGCTATCAGTTATTAGTTGTGACAGACTTCTTGTGCTTTTACAGACATGTGAGATTTCTTCCTCAAACTGCTTAGCATACAGTGATTGGTTTTGATGCATCATATTTTTAACTTTTTAAATCTTATCAACTCTCACTTTCAGCCATGGTTTTGGTTTGTCAGATAAATTGCTGCCTGTAGTATCAGGAAAAAAAAAACACAGAATTTCACTAAGTAGTTCCCTGTTGGGAGGAGAAAACACTGACTTTGTGAATTCTTAATTTTACATTTAATTGAAATAGCTTTGGAATGTTGGCTACTGCTTTCCATAGCACACACTGAGTGCTGATGAGCAGTAGTTGTGTAACCTGTGCTTACAGGCTCAGCTGAAGACAGTAACTTCATAGGCAGGTGTTAAGGTAACTTGAAACTTGCTCTAATCAGTGACCAGGTCAAGCAAGTAAAGCTTGGCTGGTTTGCCAAACTAGAAATCTGTATTTGTTTGAGTTACTGAGTTGTCAGTGGGATGATGTCCTGAAAGTCATTGCTTCTGGATTTGTTCAGAATTCTGAAATATTTTACTTCTATTATCTTCATCCTAAGGATCTGAAAGCCTTCAAGGAACTGCAAGCTTATGATGTCTATCTCAATGGATAACTGAACTAGGAAAGCACTTTGTATTTAGACAAATGTATTCTCATGCCTTTAGAATTTGATGGAATGATTGAAACTAATTGTTTCCTAATTTTTGGCTATTTGTTTTTGTCAGAGATGGTGATGAACATAATCAACTCTTATCCAGAGTTAAAAAGCTGGAACTAGAGTTGTCTCAAGTGAAATCAGAGCTGTCAACTGGAGAAAGTGTGAAGACAAGTTATGAGAAAATAGATGTTATTCATGAAAAAGTAAGTTCTGGCAACCATCCTAGTGAAAGTCAGACTAGATTTTGTTCACAAACTTTTTCTAAAAGGCACTGCTAAAGTGATATAGGAGTAATATTCATCTTAAGAAAACAGTAGTGCTTCATGGAGTGGTACTATGATCTTTTTTGTCCCATTATTGGTAGCACCTTAGCTTGTGGTCTGAGCTTGTGGTCTGTTTTTCACAATGGCAGCTTCATTTGCATTTGAGATAATGCAGTGCCAGTTGAATGCACTGTACTTTGCTGTGCCATCTCATGCAAATGTGGAAAAGGAACTCATGTAAGCAATAGCTGGGTTTGTCATCTGGGACTTCTGTTAAAAATCCTGCTTTATTTCTTTAAACTTCTGTAAGGTTCAGTTTGAATGTAGTCAATAAAATGCAGCAGTCCTTAAGTTCTTATTTTAGTCCAAGTTGATATTCCAGTGTTATCACGAGTTATTTTATCTATGTGTACAAAATCAAAGTATGCCATAGGAGAATAGTCACTGAAGTGACTGCTTTATTAGACCTGATAAGTGTACTGCTCCCCTGAGAGTTGCCACAGTCCCTTGGAACTGTTGCAATCAACTTTTCTATTCTGAACCATCAGGCAGACTTCCTTACATAAAGCCCTTCGTTAGCAGGGCTTTTAGCTGCTCCCAACTCAATGAAGCCTCCTGTTTCCATGTCTTCTGCATAATTACCTGGTCTGATACTCTAGTGTAAGTCACTGCAGTTAAAACACATGTGCAGGCTGGCTTTCTCTGTAATACTGGAAGGATGTATTGACTTCATATGTGTCTACTAGATGGACTTCATAAACCATTAAGTGATACTAATCATTTCTATTCCAATTGTTGGTGAATAGGTAGATGCCCAGGTTAAAGAATCTGTCAAGATGATGGTTTTTGGTGATCAGCACAAGGACTTTCCTGAATCGCTTCTCCAGTGGCTTACATCCAATTTTGTGACCAGAAGTGATCTGCAAACTTTGCTGCAGGATCTGGAATTGCAAATTCTCAAGAATATCACCCTGCAGATGGCTGTAACAAACCAAAGAATAACATCTGAAGTAGTAACAAATGCTGTGAATAACGCAGGGATTTCTGGAATCACAGAAGCAGTGAGTCAGCTAAAGTGCTGAGTTCAATAAAATTGTCCTTTACATGCATTTAGTGGAACACAGCTGTCTATGTCAATGTTAATGATTTGAAGAGGTGCCTGAAAGATTAATTGAAATGGGCAGAACTATGGGAAATTGAGTGCACTCTTACAGCAGTTGCTCTGTGTACAGCAGTGTACTCTGAACATGTCTTTTTTTTCCCCAAAAAAGTCTGCTATCTTGAGTACAGAAGAATTCCCAAATGATGTGGGCAGATGGGGGGAGGGTAGAGAATCCCAGTTCTGAAGAGAACATCAGGCAAGACGTAGTATGAATTTGTTTTGAGCCGTTTGCTCAAGCATTTACAAACACACTTTATGTTGACTGAGGCTCTCAAAGATTTGCAGTAGAGTGCAGCATCTCAGAAGGGTGTTTGCCACTTGTCATGTGAATGTATCAGCTCTTGTCACTTCATATTGTCTTTCCTTTCTGTTCTTCTGTGTCCACCTGTAGCAAGCACAGATCATTGTAAACAATGCCTTGAAGCTGTACTCCCAAGACAAGACTGGGATGGTGGATTTTGCCTTAGAATCTGGAGGTAAACATAAGAAATACTATAATATTGGGGAAAATGGTATACTTCCAATACAAACAGATCTAAATAATTGAGAACCACAAATCTGTGTGTGTGAAGGGACTGAACATCACTGAACTTATTATGGAAAGTGTACAATCTTTCAGTCTTCTGAAGTGAAAAATCTATAATGATTACTTAAAATAACGTTGTATTTGACAGAAGCAGAGCATTGGAAAGTTAGAACATTATTAGAGATTAATGAAAGCTTTCATATTTGGTTGAGTTCTTGTTGTTTTTTAAGGGGGGGGAAATAAAAAGCCTTTAGGAAGGAATGAAAAATTACTTCTGCTAACCTGATTTTATCTTTTTTTAAGGTGGCAGCATTTTGAGTACTCGCTGTTCTGAAACCTATGAGACAAAAACAGCGTTAATTAGCCTCTTTGGAATTCCTCTGTGGTACTTCTCTCAGTCTCCCAGAGTTGTTATTCAGGTAATTAAAAGTAAAGTAAACAAGTTCAGCAGTGTTATTTTGTGTTGAGTGTCCTGGGGTGGTTTTTGGGTGCTGAGTGTTTTTCTGTGATACGCTCCTCTGGGGTGGGGAGGACCAGGTCGGGGTACTTTGAACTTTGTTCTGAGAGTGATTATTCTTGAAGGCCCTTGGCGTTGCTTAAGGCCCTTCTTTAACAAAACTAAGGCTCTCATAGCAGCCTTGGTGCTGCACTGGATTTCTGCAAAATGTGGGCGCTGTGAGGCTCCTGTTAGAAAGCAGTCTTCAAGAGAGTGCTGGCAGTTCAGGTGGATCCGCTGCCTTTGTGATGAACACAATTAAAACTGCAACCCCTGTCTTCCATTCTATTGTATAGTCCTTCTAACACAAAGTACCATTTCATGTTTGGTCTTTGGAGGCAGGATTGGACTTGTGATTAGGAGTGGAGTTATTCAGTAACCAGTAAAACACACAATAACTTGTTCTGCCACTTATTATCGTTTTAAGACCAGTAATTCAGAATTCATTGCAAAAACAAAATGCAACAAATGTTTATGTTCTTTCTTGTCCTGTTCTTTCCACACCTTTCTGTCTACTTGCCCTGAAATCTGTTCAGCCGGACATGTATCCAGGAAACTGCTGGGCTTTCAAGGGATCAGAGGGATATCTTGTAGTTAGACTTTCCATGAAGATCTATCCTACTGCCTTCTCCTTGGAACACATACCAAAAACACTTTCGCCATCAGGAAATATCACCAGTGCTCCTAGGAAGTTTTCAGTATATGTAAGTCTTGAGTTTTAAACTGTTGGTGTTTATAAAGAGTACTTGTTGTATATCCTGGAAATAATGAGGGAGAACAGCTAAGAAGAGAAAGCGGTGTTTCAGTTTTTGCTGTTAGAATTGTTCATATTCTTGATGAGCTTCGGGATCTAGAAACAAGTGCTAAAAGTAGTTTGGAGGGATGTTTATTCTCCTCATGCTTGTTAGAATTGTGAACTTCTGTGTAGGGAGGTAGCAGTTCTGTTTGTCATGAGCAGGTCATATTTTGCAGTGCGATGGTAGTAAATCAGCTCCTTAATTCCTGCTATAAAAGTTAAGGAGTTTGTATGTTTTCACAGTCAAACATAGCAGGAACTGAATGTACAGCTTGTCTGAACAAGCACTGAGTTGCACGGGAAACATTCTAATCCTTGCATGGTAGATTTCTGGATGCTACTTGCTGATCCTCAGTTACATAAATATGCTTCTACAGTTTCAATACTTGAGAGAAACAAATCTTTATCTCATTGTTACAGGGCTTAGATGATGAATATCAAGAGGAGGGCACGTTTCTGGGACAGTATGTGTATGACCAAGAAGGGGAGCCGCTGCAGATGTTTACAGTGGTAAGTTTGGGTAAGATGAGATTTAAAGTGTCAGGAGAGACTCGTTTTTTATGGCAGTACTCAATGACCTGTGAAGAGAAGGGCTGCATTCTCTGTTGAGCAGTGTAAAAACAGATGTAGGAAGTATTTCTCTATTTGCATCAAAACCCATCATCTAAATAGATAAGATGGAATGTTTCTGCTGTCTAGACACAACTGGTGTGAAAGTAACAAACTTATGAAGAATCAGCTTCACGTTTATTCTGCTCCCTTAACAAGCAAGGAGCAAACAAATTAGGAAAGCTCTGTTCAAAGTGTTAAAAATTTCCCAAGCCGTAACTTAATTACTAGTAAGAGTGAGTTGCAGAAAGCAAGTTTGGTTGAGAATGCAACTTTGGTGGTGGCAGTTTATACTAGAGAGCTAACTCTAGTTTGTGTGTTTGCTCTTTCTTCCTCCAGGAGAAAAGTGAAAACGTATTCCAGATAGTGGAACTGAGAATTCTGTCTAACTGGGGACATGCAGAGTATACCTGCCTTTATCGGTTCAGAGTGCATGGGAAGCCTGCTGAATAATCCCCTACACTACAGCGTGGGTTGCTTTGTTGTACATTTTGTTTGCAATCTGTATATACCGGACAGCCTACAACACTGGAATCTTTGAAGGACGAGGATGCGAGATATATTCTGCAGAGCTACCAGTCCTCTGATAAAGACTGTCAGCAGAACTGTATAAAATAAAAATCACTTGCTCTAATGCTCAGCTTGTAATTGCCAGTTAGCTTTATATTTTTGTGTCCATGCTGAGAGAAGTAATGCATGCAAACGACTCTGGTTCATAAAGCCCAGTTAGCAATCAGGTGATACCTATTTTATTACAAATGAATGTATGTGGGTTTTTTTTGCTTTTTTTTTTTTTTTTTTTTTTAAGAATAAACCACACTTTCAGCAACTAGGATTTTTTTTTTCTTTTAATTCAGGGCTCAACAGCATATTTGTTAGCTTAGCACTGCAAGCCAAATAATGTCATGGAGTTTAAACAGCCTGTGGCTACAGGTGTCCTTCAGTTGACTTTGTTTTGACCTGCTGGGGGATCCTAAAGGGCTTCTTCAATAAATGTTGACTGTAATAAATATTGCTGTCAGGGAAAGTTAACACAACCAAAATTAATTTAAACACCAGCGCCTGAGAATGCTTTACTGTAACTTGTGGCCATGGGTTGCTTTAAAATTCAGGGATAACTTCAAGTTACTTTAAGGGTTTTTACCATGGCAACTTGATGAGCTTGTTTAATTGCTGTATGTGAATGTTTACCAAGCAGTTTAACAGTTTTATCAGCTCTTCTCACTTAGTACACCAAGGCTGATTTGGAACTTAACCCTAGAGAAGAACTATCTTAATTCCTCAGAAATTCTCTCCTTGGGACAATAATTCCTTACATCTGATGGTCGGTAAATGTTGTACTGCAGTAATGCAGCACAGGGAAAATGGGGCTGTGGAGTCTCATCAGTACAAAGTAATGGTGTCCAGTAGGTGGGCAAGCAAAGCTTTGTACACAACACGAGCTGAGGCTGCTCTAGGGCCCCCCTTTAGCATCACTACTTTTACGGATCCTTTTCAGAAAAGACTCCTACATGCACTTGGTGTGCAGAACTTTTCTCTGGTTGTTCCCATGCATTTTATGACCTGTGAACAGTTAACACAGGGAGCTGCTGACTGGTTTTCTGAATAGAGTTCTGTATGTTGCACAACAGTCCTCCAATGTTTCAACACAGTCTCTGCATGGAGAACTCTTCCCTTGAGCTGCAGCCTGCGGCCCATGCAGAGGAGCTGCGTTGTATGTACAGGTGTTTTAATATGTTACATATTTAAATTAGAATTATCCTGTATAAATTGGAATTGGGTAGTGGGAGTATTTTGAATAACACTAACTTATTTTTTAAAGAAGCGAGATAGGACTTTGTGCAATGTATTTTTGTAAATGCTTTTCAAATCGTCTGTTCTTCGCTGCCTCCAAACTGACGAGATGCTATGGAAATGTTTAAATAAAGAGTTTTAATTTTTTCAAAGTGCATGTAATATTTGAAACAAAATAAAGCTTTGGTTTGGGTTTTTTTTCCGTATCTTCGATGATCTCTTTGAATAATTAACGCCCCCCTCCTCTCCGAGCCTCCGGCCGCAGCTCTGCGGGCTGTGGGCGGAGCGCCGCCCGCTGCCATTGCTCCGCCCCGGGCCCCGCCCCCACGTGACTCCGCGCCCCACGTGACTCCGCGCAGCCGCTCTTCTGAGCCTCGCGGGCCGCCGTCGCGCCGGGCGGAAGCCGGGCGGTGAGGCGCGACGTCGCTCCGGGGCTGCGCGCGTCTGCGTCCGCCTCCCGCCCGTCCTCCTTCCTTCCCTCCCCCCCCTCCGCGCTCCTCCGCGTCGATGGCGGCGGCGATTATGGCGGCGGAGCAGGAAGCGGCCAAGGGCGGCGGCAGGAACCGCGGCGGCGTGCAGCGCGTGGAAGGCAAGCTGCGCGCCAGCGTCGAGAAGGGCGACTACTACGAGGCGCACCAGATGTACCGGACGCTCTTCTTCAGGTACGGCTCGGCCCGCCGCCCGCCCGCCCCTCCCCCGCGCGGCCTTCCAGAGCCTTCCCACGCATCGCTCCCCGCTGCCGCCCGCCGCGCCCACGTCCCGTTCCTATTGGCCGCCGCTCCCGTCCGTCTCCGCCTCTCGCTCTCTCATTGGGCCGCGCGGGGGCGGGGCGGGGCGGGCGTGCGCATGGCAGGCTGCGGGCGGCACGAATCCTGGGCCCGGCCTGCGCTCCGCGGGGTTCCGCCGCGGTTCCTCCGAGCCCCGCCGCCGCCCGTGGTGACTCCGCGGCGTTCCGGCGTCCCGCCGCTCGCGGGGCTGAGGAGGCGGGCTGTGCCCGTGTCGCTGGTCCGGCGGCGGGACCCCCGTTGGCGCCGTGAGGGCCGCGGGACGGGGCGCTGCTGACGCGTCTCCCTTGCCGGCCTCTCCCGGCTCTCGCTTGGAGGTTCCCGACCCTTCCGTCGCCGTTGCCCGGCTCCGTGTGGGCCAGGCTTTCCCTAACACAGGGGCCCTCCCTCCTCCCTCCTCCAGAGCCTGCAGGGCTCCCGAGACGTCGCCGCGCGTCTCGCTGCAGTCCGGGATATTCCGGCCCAGAGATTGGGCTACAAGTCGTGCTTCCCTGTGCCTGTTTCCCATGCCCCTGCGTTACTGTAGAGGCGCTGAGGCTGTGCCCCTGTGGAAGCTGGCTCGCTGCCTGCACCCCTTTGCTGTGCTCCTCAGGTGCCGTCCTGCTGATCCCTGTGCCTGTTGCTGTGTCTGGGCAGCCTCTGCTGGCTCTGCCTTCGCCCTTCCCCTTCCCTGGCAGCTTTAGGCTGACCAAGCTTATGGGCAAAATGTTCTTCCTTGTGTATGTGGCAGTAATTAAGTAGTGGAGACCTGGATGCTCAGTCAGACATTTCAGTTATTACTGTGGCCTCTTGCAGTATTTCTTTTCATTGCTCATATCCATGGCAACCTGCTGTTGTCACCTCTTTTCACGTTCAGTTTAAAAGATAGACCTTCAGGAGCGCTGAATCAGGTACCCCTTGTAGGGGCTTCACTGGTTGGCTTTGTTCACTCGTGGTAGTGCCAGAATTGGGATGTTGCCCTCAGCCTTATGGCTCCCTTGTGCCATATGTCCCCAGAGCTGAATGGGATCAGCACGTGGGTACCCTCAGCATACAGTGTGGGGTGGAGTGTGGGGTGCTGCACCCTCAGCACTGCAGGCCATAATGTCCTCAGTGCACTCTTCCCATTGCTGTCCTCCCTGCTATATACTGAGCACCATCACACAGCAGATCTGCTGGGATCAGCGAGGGCAACATCAAAGGTTTCAGACTTAAATTATTATTATCTGAGGATAAACGTAAATCTAAGCCATAGTGCGGCCTATTTTATGGGAAGGATTACGTGAGGTGGTGACTGCAATGGTGGAAAATGACTTTGTGCAGCAGTTGTTTCTCATCTCGTATTTTATACGCCTTAGCTCACATGCTTTGCTTAAGCCTCACTGTATTAATTTGGAGTGAGAGTTCCTGCCTTTTCCCTTTCAAATGCAGAAGGAAGGTGCTTAATTAAAGGGAAAGGTGATATTTGCGTAGCTATGGAGGGGATTTCCTTCCAGGCAGAAAGATAGAATGAGGCAGAGAAGATTTGTTTGGAAAGTCGCTGAGAGTGGGAAGGAGTCCCAGACAGTCTTGTCTGTCCTCTGTTAAATGTGTGTTGAATGTAAACAATCTTCCAGAGAGACATCAGCACAGAGTGAGGTGATCTCAGCTGCGGAATGTAATTGGGACGCAGTGTTGATTCACTTTGATCAAAGCCAGCCTGTAAATGCGAGTCCATTCCATCATGCAATGCGAGTCAAACCTGAAATCCTGACTCAGAGCTTCAGAAGTCAGAAGCCAAGGGGTGCTTGAGGTTGGAGGAGGGTGGGGAGGAAGGATTGTCACAAACCTGCATCCTGCAGTGCTTGTCCCTCGCTGTGCTCCATGTGGCAGGAGGAATGTGCTGCTGCTGTCCCAGCAGCATTATGTGGGCAGTGCAGGCTGGGTGGAGCCTTCACTGTGTGCTCCGGCACTTGAATCAAAGGTTCAACACGACTGCCTCTGTAGTGGCACTGACTTCTGTTGTCCTTGTGCTTGTAGGTCTGTATGGTATGGATCATCTGTCACAGGATTTCAGTTCTGTACTCTCTGGTTCTAAGTGCCGTTTAGATTCACAGGGTGAATATTTCTAATCCTTTTTGTTCATATCTTTCAAAACACAGTTCTTAAGATGTATTTTATGTTGTAGAGCAGTTTTCATTAGTATCACCTGCAGCCACTCCCAGAGTAGGAGGCTCTTGGAAAAGGCTCAGTGGGAGGGGGATCCAGGAGGAGCTTTGGAGCCAGAAGCCTTGAGGCACACCTGGCTGTGAGGCCAGCTGCAAAACGCTGCAGGTGCCGAGCTGCTCAGCTGAGGCGTGAGCCATTACTGTGGCTGTGAGCTGCTGAGGGCACTTACTCAGAGAAAGTGCTGCTGTCCTTAGCTGCTCTCGGTGGAAGTGCTGCCTTTCTAACCTGGAGATGTGATGGTCAAGAGCTGCAGTTGCCCGTTGCGGTGCCGTGCAGGAGGCCGTGATCACCGTGCCGCGGTAGGAGATCATTCTTGGGGTCACTGTTGGAACCAGTTGTGTCCTTCACTTTTTGGTTTACTCCTAAGTGAGGAAGGGAGGAGCTGCAGCAGGTGTGTGAGAGAACGCTGTGACGGCACAGCCTGCGGGCTGCCTGCCAGCACAGAGACAGGCTGCTTGGCTTCAGTGTGGGTGGCTGGTGGCCCTCACTGGTGCAGAATCAAACAATTTAATCCTTTCCATTAATTGATGCATATGCAACTTGCTTTCTAGTAACTTTTATCAAGGCTTTGCTGTTGTTCCCAGGTATATGTCACAAGGAAAATATGCGGAAGCGAGAGAGTTAATGTACTCAGGGGCTCTGCTGTTCTTCAGTCACAACCAGGTATGCTGATGTTTTTGTGTGGTGCTTGGGGGGTTGTTGAGGGGTGAATAGTGAATTCCCAATGGCAAACGTTGGGGTGGTTGCTTCATAATCTTCAGCTTTATCTCTTTGTTGAGTTTCTCTCCACAAGGAAAGATGATTCCAAACGGGAACTGTGAACTGCATTTGTTTTGCTTTCCTGGGAACTTCTTGCTGTTTCCATCAAATTAATGTAAATTTTTGTAAGAGGGAATTGAAATTTCCTGTTGTTCTTTACCTGTAACTGCTGATAAAAGTATTAACGTGCTTCTGACAAAATTCTGCGTGAGAAATGAACTCTTTCATGATGTTTCCTTTGATTCACTGTTACGTTCATCACTACCAGCATGTGTTTGTCTTTTAGCAAAACAGTGCTGCTGATCTGTCCATGTTGGTTTTGGAGTCTTTGGAGAAGTCAGATGCAAAAGTATCAGATGACCTTTTAGGTACGGTGACCTCTGCACTCAGTTTGTTTAGGTGTTCTCACTTCTCGGTGAGCATTGAGTCCTGGATCCTGAAATCGCTGTCATCCCATGGGGCTGGGAAGTGGAAAAGGATGGGAGGAAAACTTTGTTAGAAAATGGGTTGCTGATAACTGACAGTGCTGTGAGCAAAGGGACATACATTGAATTAACGTGGCATCCTCCTTTCCTCACTGCTTGTTGTCTGCACAGTGACTTGCAGCTCCAAGGCTTTGCTGGATGGCCGTGCCTGCCATAGCGGCGTGGTGCTGCACGCAGTACTTCTCACTTTCTTCTCCAGTTGACATTTAGTGAGCAGACAATTCGGGAAGACCTTAAGAGTCTGCCTTGTGCCCGGTTCAGGGAGTCAGCCATTGCCTTTGCAGGCTGCGGTGTGGGTGGAGGCAGAAGGTGCAGAGAGCTGGGATGGACCCTTATTGCCTTCGGTCAGCTCTGCCTTTCTGTATCCCACCGATGACTTCTGGTGGTCCTTTTTGGAACTGCAGGCTTCTGTCTGCTGCCCTGTTGATGGCAAGCACTCCTGAGGCCAAAAGCCTTCCCAACTCTGGGGCTGTTTGAAGCTCTGGCATTCCGTGTCCCAAACCATGACAGGATTGATGTGATGTTTGTGGTGTATTTCTGCAATTCGAAGTCACTGTTTTTAAGATCTCTTATAAAGACTGAGAACAGAGCTTGTTTTATTAGGAGTTGTATCTTGAGAAGCAGCAAGTCTCCCTATTTCTGTTAACATTATGCCTTTGTGAATGTTATTCTTGTAGAAAACTTGGCAAAATTGTTTAGTTTAATGGATCCAAATTCTCCTGAAAGAGTGGCTTTTGTATCCAGAGCACTGAAGTGGTCTAGCGGGGGATCAGGAAAACTTGGCCATCCAAAATTACATCAGTTACTAGCCATTACCCTGTGGAAAGGTAAGAAAAATCGACTGGCTCTCCTGTGTTTGGTTTTGAAAATGTTGAAAGATGTAGGAGATGTATTTTGGAAATAACCTAGGGAAGCTGAGATGGAAATGATTCCTGGTGTTCCCTGCTGTTTGTCAGCATTTCAGGGTTTTGCCACTAACAACAACAACAA